GTCCCAGGGCACACAATCCTATCCCAGGGCACACAACCCGATCCCAGGGCACACATCCCTGTCCCAGGGCACACAATCCTATCCCAGGGCACACAACCCGATCCCAGGGCACACATCCCCGTCCCAGGGCACACAATCCTATCCCAGGGCACACAACCCGATCCCAGGGCACACATCCCTGTCCCAGGGCACACAACCCCGTCCCAGGGCACACATCCCCGTCCCAGGGCACACATCCCTGTCCCAAGGCATACATCCTTGTCCCAGGGCACACATCCCCGTCCCAGGGCACACATCCCTGTCCCAGGGCATACATCCTTGTCCCAGGGCACACAACACCGTCCCCAGGGCACACAACCCCGTCCCCAGGGCACACAACACCGTCCCCAGGGCACACATCCCCGTCCCAGGGCACACATCCCCGTCCCCAGGGCACATAACACCGTCCCCAGGGCACACAACACCGTCCCCAGGGCACACAACCCCGTCCCAGGGCACACATCCCTGCCCCAGGGCACACAACACCGTCCCAGGGCACACAACCCCGTCCCAGGGCACACAACACCGTCCCAGGGCACACAACACCGTCCCAGGGCACACAACCCCGTCCCAGGGCACACAACACCGTCCCAGGGCACACAACACCGTCCCAGGGCACACAACACCGTCCCAGGGTACACAACACCGTCCCAGGGCACACAACACCGTCCCCAGGGCACACAACCCCGTCCCAGGGCACACATCCCTGTCCCAGGGCACACAACACCGTCCCAGGGCACACAACACCGTCCCCAGGGCACACAACCCCGTCCCAGGGCACACAACCCCGTCCCAGGGCACACATCCCTGCCCCAGGGCACACAACACCGTCCCAGGGCACACAACCCCGTCCCAGGGTACACAACACCGTCCCAGGGCACACATCCCTGTCCCAGGGCACACAACACCGTCCCAGGGCACACAACACCGTCCCAGGGCACATAACCCATCCCCAGGGCACACATCCCTGTCCCAGGGCACACAACCCCATCCCCAGGGCACACACCCCCATCCCCTGGGCACACAACCCCATCCCCAGGGCACACAACCCCATCCCCAGGGCACACAACCCCATCCCCAGGGCACACAACCCTGTCCCAGGGCACACAACCCTGTCCCAGGGCACACAACCCTGTCCCAGGGCACACAAGCCCGTCCCAGGGTACACAACCCCATCCCAGGGCACACAACCCCGTCCCAGGGCACAACCCCGTCCCAGGGTACACAACCCTGTCCCAGGGGCACACACCCCTGTGCCAGGGCACACATCCCTGTCCCAGGGCACACAACACCATCCCAGGGCACACATCCCTGTCCCAGGGCACACAACACCGTCCCAGGGCACACATCCCTGTCCCAGGGCACACAACCCTGTCCCAGGGCACACAACACCGTCCCAGGGCACACATCCCTGTCCCAAGGCACACAACCCGATCCCAGGGCACACAACACCGTCCCCAGGGCACACAACCCGATTCCAGGGCACACAACACCGTCCCAGGACACACAAGCCCGTCCCAGGGCACACAAGCCCGTCCCAGGGCACACAACCCCGTCCCAGGGCACACAATCCCATCCCCAGGGCACACAAGCCCGTCCCAGGGCACACAATCCCATCCCCAGGGCACACAAGCCCGTCCCAGGGCACACATCCCTGCCCCAGGGCACACAACACCGTCCCAGGGCACACAACCCCGTCCCAGGGCACACAACACCGTCCCAGGGCACACATCCCTGTCCCAGGGCACACAACCCCGTCCCAGGGCACACAACACCGTCCCAGGGCACACAACACCGTCCCAGGGCACACATCCCCGTCCCCAGGGCACATAACACCGTCCCCAGGGCACACAACACCGTCCCCAGGGCACACAACCCCGTCCCAGGGCACACATCCCTGCCCCAGGGCACACAACACCGTCCCAGGGCACACAACCCCGTCCCAGGGCACACAACACCGTCCCAGGGCACACATCCCTGTCCCAGGGCACACAACCCCGTCCCAGGGCACACAACACCGTCCCAGGGCACACAACACCGTCCCAGGGCACACAACACCGTCCCAGGGCACACAACACCGTCCCCAGGGCACACAACCCCGTCCCAGGGCACACATCCCTGTCCCAGGGCACACAACACCGTCCCAGGGCACACAACACCGTCCCCAGGGCACACAACCCCGTCCCAGGGCACACAACCCCGTCCCAGGGCACACAACCCCGTCCCAGGGCACACATCCCTGCCCCAGGGCACACAACACCGTCCCAGGGCACACAACCCCGTCCCAGGGCACACAACACCGTCCCAGGGCACACATCCCTGTCCCAGGGCACACAACACCGTCCCAGGGCACACAACACCGTCCCAGGGCACATAACCCATCCCCAGGGCACACATCCCTGTCCCAGGGCACACAACCCCATCCCCAGGGCACACAACCCCATCCCCAGGGCACACAACCCCATCCCCAGGGCACACAACCCCATCCCCAGGGCACACAACCCCATCCCCAGGGCACACAACCCTGTCCCAGGGCACACAACCCTGTCCCAGGGCACACAACCCTGTCCCAGGGCACACAAGCCCGTCCCAGGGTACACAACCCCATCCCAGGGCACACAACCCCGTCCCAGAGCACAACCCCGTCCCAGGGTACACAAGCCTGTCCCAGGGGCACACACCCCTGTCCCAGGGCACACATCCCTGTCCCAGGGCACACAACACCATCCCAGGGCACACATCCCTGTCCCAGGGCACACAACACCGTCCCAGGGCACACATCCCTGTCCCAGGGCACACAACCCTGTCCCAGGGCACACAACACCGTCCCAGGGCACACATCCCTGTCCCAAGGCACACAACCCGATCCCAGGGCACACAACACCGTCCCCAGGGCACACAACCCGATTCCAGGACACACAAGCCCGTCCCAGGGCACACAAGCCCGTCCCAGGGCACACAACCCCGTCCCAGGGCACACAATCCCATCCCCAGGGCACACAAGCCCGTCCCAGGGCACACAATCCCATCCCCAGGGCACACAAGCCCGTCCCAGGGCACACAACCCCATCCCAGGGCACACAAAACCGTCCCAGGGCACACATCCCTGTCCCAGGGCACACATCCCTGTCCCAGGGGCACACATCCCTGTCCCAGGGCACACATCCCATTCCCAGGGCGCACATCCCTGTCCCAGGGCACACATCCCTGTGCCAGGGCACACAACCCCATCCCAGGGCACACAACACCGTCCCAGGGCACACAACTCCGTCCTAGGGCACACAACACCGTCCCAGGGCACACAACCCCGTCCCAGGGCACACATCCCTGTCCCAGGGCACACAACCCCGTCCCAGGGCACACAACCCTGTCCCAGGTCACACAACCTGAGACAGAGAGATAGAACGGAATGATAGAAATAAGAAATTCTAAACAAAATTCGGGTCGGAGATGCAACAAGGAAAATAGAGCATATCTGCTGGCTAGGTATGTTTCAGAGAGGAAGAAATCGACCAGTCAAAGTTATTTTTATGAACTTAATCTAGTTAAGTATATACTGGCAGAAAAGAGATATTTAACAAATGAGAAGTACCGTGCAGTGGTACTCTTTATCATTTGGTATTTGACTGGACATGTCTAAGAAGGAAACGCAGGTGGCAGACAGAAGCAAAGACGAAAAGCGAAAGAGAAATGCAAGACCAGAAAATGGCGCAAACAGGGCGCTGGATAAAGCAAATCTGTTAACATAAAGTTGAACACAGAGAGGTTGTGTGGCAGAGTACTACAGAGGGAGTCAGCAGGGGTTACCTAGACCTGCTATTACATGCACGCAGCCACATGAACAAATTTTCCTCGGGGGAAAAACAAAGGTATCACAATTGGCATGAGTAGCATAAAAGTAATGTACACAAATGCAGATGGAATTGCTAATAAAGGAATACAGGTACAGGAGAGAGTGGTGGAAGTACAACTGCACACGATCGCAAAATTGGAAACTAAAGTGACTAACGTTATAGGAAATGCAATCATCCCACGAGGGTATCCAGTAATAAGGAGAGAGAGGGTAGACAGAGGGGGAAGAGACGGTGTTTGTTCTGTTGTTACAGCTACACTGGTAGCTGTAACAACAGAACAACTACTGTAACTACTCTGAAGAACTGAAAATAGCAGAGGGAGCTGATCAGCACGAGTATATACAAGTAGAGAGTGATATCAACCCCTTGGGGGGTGATATCACCCCCAAGGGGTTGATATCACTCCGAACCTGTCCCCAGAGGCCCACATCAAAAGGATATCATCAGCGGCGTATGCCCGGTTGGCCAACATAAAAACTGTCTTTAGAAACTTGTGTAGGGAATCACTCAGAACCTTGTATACCACGTTTGTCATACCATTCCTGGAGTATGCAGTTCTAGCCTGAAATCCATAACTAGTTAAACACAAGACAAAGTTAGAGAAGATTCAGAGGCATGCCACCAGACTAGTCCCAGAGCTGAGAGGTATGAGTTACGAGAAAAGGCTACAGGAATTAAACCTCACATCCCTAGAACACAGAAGAGTTAAGGGAGACATGATCACCACCTATAAAATTCTCAGAGGAATTGATAGGTTGGATAAAGACAAATTATTTATCACGGGTGGAACAGGAACAAGGGGACACAGATGGAAACTTAGTACTCAAATGAGCCACAAACACATTAGAAATAATTTGTTCAGTGTCAAAGTAGTTAACAAATGGAATGCATTAGGAAGTGATGTGGTGGAGGCTGACTTCACACACAACTTCAAATATAGATACGATAGAGCCCAATAGGCTCAGGAATCTGTACATCAGTTGATTGACGGTTGAGAGTCGGGACCAAAGAGCCAGAGCTCAACCCCCGCAAGCACAAATACCCACACGCACCCTTAAACTTATCTCAGGTAACGGATCACAACGTTATCAATAATGTAGACATAGTCTATACTCGCAGGGTTCCAAAAATGACCTGATCGGATTTCCGCTCGTCTCCACCTACACTGACGAGATCACCCTTTGAATACTGATCACCCTCTGAATACTGATCAGTCTCTGAATACTGATCACCCTCTGAATACTGATCACCCTCTGAATACTGATCACCCTCTGAATACTGATCACCCTCTGAATACTGATCAGTCTCTGAATACTGATCACCCTCTGAATACTGATCAGCCTCTGAATACTGATCACCCTCTGAATACTGATCAGCCTCTGAATACTGATCAACCTCTGAATACTGATCAGCCTCTAAATACTGATCAGCCTCTGAATACTGATCAGCCTCTGAATACTGATCACCCTCTGAATACTGATCAGCCTCTGAATACTGATCAGCCTCTGAATACTGATCAGCCTCTGAATACTGATCAGCCTCTGAATACTGATCAGCCTCTGAATACTGATCAGCCTCTGAATACTGATCAGCCTCTGAATACTGATCAGCTTCTGAATACTGATCAGCCTCTGAATACTGATCAGCCTCTGAATACTGATCAGCCTCTGAATACTGATCAGCCTCTGAATACTGATCAGCCTCTGAATACTGATCAGCCTCTGAATACTGATCAGCCTCTGAATACTGATCAGCCTCTGAATGCTGATCAGCTTCTGAATACTGATCAGCCTCTGAATACTGATCAGCCTCTGAATACTGATCAGCTTCTGAATACTGATCAGCCTCTGAATACTGATCAGCCTCTGAATACTGATCACCCTCTGAATACTGATCAGCTTCTGAATACTGATCAGCCTCTGAATACTGATCAGCCTCTGAATACTGATCAGCCTCTGAATACTGATCAGCCTCTGAATACTGATCAGCCTCTGAATACTGATCAGCTTCTGAATACTGATCAGCCTCTGAATACTGATCAGCCTCTGAATACTGATCAGCCTCTGAATACTGATCAGCCTCTGAATACTGATCAGCCTCTGAATACTGATCAGCCTCTGAATACTGATCAGCCTCTGAATACTGATCAGCCTCTGAATACTGATCAGCCTCTGAATACTGATCACCCTCTGAATACTGATCAGCCTCTGAATACTGATCAGCCTCTGAATACTGATCAGCCTCTGAATACTGATCAGCTCCAAAGAGGATCTGAGGAGACTTTTAGGTCCTTGACGACCACTGTGAGGAGATTGTCTACTAGATCGAGATGATGCCTTCAAGAAGTCTAGATATATGGTAATAGTATAATTTTGCATCACAATTTAAATAACTAGTAACTTCTTAGTGCATATATTATGCCACGCGATACCCCTTTTGAGAGTGTAGTGTACTTCATGCCCAGACTGTGAACGGTAGTGTACTTCATGCCCAGCCTGTGAACAGTTGTGTTCTTCATGCCCAGCCTGTGAACAGTTGTGTACTTCATGCCCAGCCTGTTGGAGGTTGTGTACTTCATGCCCAGACTGTGAACGGGTGTGTACTTCATGCCCAGACTGTGAACGGGTGTGTACTTCATGCCCAGACTGTGAACGGGTGTGTACTTCATGCCCAGACTGTGAACGGGTGTGTACTTCATGCCCAGACTGTGAACGGTTGTGTACTTCATGCCCAGACTGTGAACGGGTGTGTACTTCATGCCCAGACTGTGAACGGGTGTGTACTTCATGCCCAGCCTGTTGGAGGTTGTGTACTTCATGCCCAGACTGTGAACGGGTGTGTACTTCATGCCCAGACTGTTGGAGGTAGTGGAAAAGGTTACAGAGGCACATGATGGACTCCGGAATTGAACTCGGAAAACGAATATATTTACTGAATGTGTTTTTCTTCAGCTCCTGGGTCCTCGCCTCCAACACCAGGTTCGCTACACCGATTAACTTGTTTTAACTTTCTCTAACTCTCTTCACTCTATTGTAAGTCCATTTACGCGGCTGATATATTAATTTGTAATCTGCCATCCTCTGTTTATATGGTTATCTTGAGGTTATCTTCAGATGATTTCGGGGTTTAGCGTCCCCGCGGCCCGGTCCTCAACCAGGCCTCCTTTTTGTTACACATCCCCCAGGAAGCAGCCCATAACATCTGTCTAACTCCCAGGTACCTATTTACTGCTAGGTGAACAGGAACATCAAGGCGGAAAGTAACTCTGCCCATTTGTTTCCGCCTCCGCCGGGGATCGAACCCGGAACCTTAAGGCTATGAAACCCGAGCGTTGTCGACTCAGCCACCAGGTCCCGGGATGGAAGGGAAGGGAATTATCAGGGGGAAAGTGCCAAGCCATTACGATTTTATAGCACTTGGAAGGAGTCAGGATAAGGATTTGGGATGGGACGGGGGGAAAGGAATGGTGCCCAACCACTTGTGGACGGTCGGGGATTGAAGGCCGGCCTGCATGAAGCGAGACCGTCGCTCTACCGTCCAGCCCAAGTGGTTGGCATCTTGAGGTTATCTTGAAATGATTTCGGGGCTTTAGTGTCCCCGCGGCCCGGTCCTCGACCAGGCCTCCACCCCCAGGAAGCAGCCCGTGACAGCTGACTAACTCCCAGGTACCTATTTACTGCTAGGTAACAGCATTCAGGGTGAAGGAAACTTTGCCCATTTGTTTCTGCCTCGTGCGGGAATCGAACCCGCGCCACAGAATTACGAGTCCTGCGCGCTATCCACCAGGCTACGAGGCCCGAGTGGACCGAGTTTTTTTTTCAGGACTGGGCCCACTGAGTGTTAATCATTTATGTCCTCACATAGTTGTGCTTGCGGGGGGGGGGGGTTGAGCTGTGGCTCTTTGGTCCCGCCTCTCAACTGTTATATCATACTTTGGCGGTGAATGAGCATTCATGACTTGTGACGGCTTCAGTGAGGTTATGTCCAGTGTGGTAAACAACGTCCTCTGCACCGCTAAATTTGATTTTCAATTTCGTGTTGTGTTAGATAATGATCCGGTGGTTTGTTTGACCTTTCTAAACAATGCTGACATTTCTTTTCTTCTCCTGAAACCTGTAAGCCTATTTCCCTAGTTTCCCTATTTCCCTATTTCCCTGTAAGCCTATTTCCCTATTTCCCTGTAAGCCTATTTCCCTAGTTTCCCTATTTCCCTATTTCCCTGTAAGCCTATTTCCCTAGTAAGCCTATTTGTTGTTAAGATTCACTACTTGGAACTAAAAGTTGCCAGTAGCACGGGCTATGGTGAGCCCGTAGTGGACTTACCTGGCACAGGAGCGGGGCTGTAACTTGTGTCCCTAGCTGGGTGTTTGTAGGTGGATTAAGAGAGGTAGGGGGAGGTAAGGTGCGTTGATGAATTAAGGAGAAGGGGGTCGGTTGATGAGGTGGGGGGGGGGATAGGAGGGGGTTGGTGTGTGGGTCTTGATGAATATCAGGTGGTGGGTTAGATGGAAGTGTGTGGGCTGTAGGAGTGATGGGAACAGGAGAACTATCCACTGACAGCAGAATGTACAGTGTCACTCATCAGGTGGAAAAATCACAATGCTGCTCAGATTAGGGTGAAAATGCTGCTTGGAAAAGAGAAAGACGAGATGTCAGACAAAATCGTTGACCAGACCACACACTAGAATGTGAAGGGACGACGACGACGTTTCGGTCCGTCCTGGACCATTCTCAAGTCGATTCTCAAGTCACAATCGACTTGAGAATGGTCCAGGACGGACCGAAACGTCGTCGTCCCTTCACCTTCTAGTGTGTGGTCTGGTCAACATACTTTAGCCACGTAATTGTGACTCATCGCCTGCATCAGACAAAATCCTTTGGGAATTGACAGGAATTGAATAGTTTACCATACCACCGAAACGCGAGAGCTTGGACAGAAACTAGACACAAATGAGCCATAGTGACGTAAGGAAATATTATCACCTAAATGCAGTAGGAAATTGGAATGACGCAAAGTGCTATAAAAAAGTACAAGTGGGCTAAAAAGTCGAGGTCCAAGGCGCCGAAGCTCAATCCCACAAGAACAAACAGTTAGGCACAAACACACCAGCACACGCACACAAACACCCCGTCATTCACATCCCAGCCTACCCAAACACCGCCCGGAATAATCGAGATGAGAAATTGGCCTAAACAAACCCCCACAACTGACATATCTAATTAGAGAGGTCAACTTCAAGAGTGTGATCGGGACGGAGGCCAACCCACACACGGACCAGACTCGGGGGCCACTTAACCTCGTACCCCACGTGCATGTGACCCGCGTTTTTTTGAGTCAGCTGATGACGTACACAAGCCAGCCTTTGTTTACAAACATTCCCCCACGTGTCTGCTTGGAGGGAATACGTACGGCTGGAGTACCTGGCGCTGTGGTCCACAGCGGATCTGTACACGGATCCATGAAGGTTATAATATTGTAATAACAGTCATTTAATTAACTTTACAAACTTGTGCGGCATTTTAATGATGGCGATCCATCTTAAACTTTTCCAATAACGTGGAGCTGGGTTCTTCCCGTAACACGCACACACACACACGCACGCACACACGTACACACACACACACACACACACACAATACACACACAAGCAAGGCAAAGACTCAGCCTAAATTGCTGCATAGCCACATCAGGAGAAAAACAACAGTAAAGGAACTGGTTAGTCAGCCTGATGACTAGTTGGACACAACTAAAGCCAGCCAGCTAACGTTTGTTTACATACCATGCATTCCCATCCACGTGTCTGCTTGGAGGGACAGGGTACGTACGACCAGGCTGGAGTACCTGGCGCAGTGGTCCACAGCGGATCTGTAGACGGATCCATGAAGGTTATAATATTGTAATAAATGATCAGTCATTTTGCCGATTAACTTTACAAACTTGTGCGGCATTTTAATGATGGCGATCCATCTCTAAGTTGATATCTTTTCCAATAACGTGGAGCTGGGTTCTTCCCGTAACACATATGTAAGACACACACACACACACGCACGCACCACTAGACACGTACACACACACCACGACACTGGAAGACACACACAACCTACACACGACACACACATACACACACACACAGTCACAGAGTAGTTAACAAGCTCAGGAACTGACTGTACACCAGTTGACACCAGTTGATCTTGAGAGGCGGGACTACAGAGCCAAAGCTCAACCCCCGAGACAAATAGGTGAGTACGGTGACACACAGTCACACAAGAGCCAAAGCTTTACACCTGCAAGCACAAATAGGTGAGTACAAATAGGTGAGTACGCACACACGCACACACACACGCACACGCACAGGAGAGAAAACGGAAAAGAGGAGGGGGAGAGGTGGGGACATGATACAAATATATAAAATACTTAGAAGGCTTGACAAGGTAGAAAGAGAGGAAATATTTACAATGAATAACAACAGAACAAAAGAGGGCACGAATGGAAGCTGGAGACTCAAACGTGTCATAGAGATGTTAGAAAGTTTTCCTTTAGCGTGAAGGTAGTGAGTAAATGGAATGACCCAAAGGAGCAGGTTGTAGAGACTAACTCCATTCATAACTTTAAAAGCAGTCATGACAGAGAAACAGGCCAAGAGTCATTGTATTAGACAACCAACGGCTAGAAAAGAGGAGTCCAAGAGCTAAAGCTCGATCCTGCAGGCCCAAATAGGTGAGTACACACAAAGGGGGGAGGGGGGCCCTCGCGGCAGAGTGGAGAGCGCTTGGGGGTTGTAGTCCTCATGCCCCGAGTTCGATTTCCGGCGGAGGCGGAAACAAATGGGCAGAGTTTCTTTCACCCTGATGCTACTGTTCACCTAGCAGTAAATAGGTACCTGGTAGTTAGACTGCTGCTACGGGCTGCTTCCTGGGGATGTGTGTGTGTGTTAGAGAGAAATATATATAGCAAACGTAATAGTGGAAAATAGATTGATTAAAAAGGCGGGGTCCAAGAGCTAATAGTTCGATTTTGTAGACACAAAGAGTAAATACAAATAGGTGAGCACACACACACACACACATATACATATGTGTACTCACCTATTTGTACTCACCTATTTGTGCTTGCAGGATCGAGCATTGACTCTTGGATCCCGCCTTTCTAGCTATCGGTTGTTTACAGCAATGACTCCTGTCCCATTTCCCTATCATACCTAGTTTTAAAAGTATGAATAGTATTTGCTTCCACAACCTGTTCCCCAAGTGCATTCCATTTTTCCACTACTCTCACGCTAAAAGAAAACTTCCTAACATCTCTGTGACTCATCTGAGTTTCCAGTTTCCACCCATGTCCCCTCGTTCTGTTATTATTACGTGTGAACATTTCATCTATTTCCACTTTGTCAATTCCCCTGAGTATTTTATGTCCCTATCATATCTCCTCTCTCCCTTCTTTTCTCTAGTGTCGTAAGGTTCAGTTCCTTCAGCCGCTCTTCATATCCCATCCCTCGTAACTCTGGGACAAGCCTCGTCGCAAACCTCTGAACCTTCTCCAGTTTCTTTATGTGTTTCTTCAGGTGGGGGCTCCATGATGGCGCGGCATACTCTAAGACGGGTCATATACCACACATATACCATACTGACACATACTGACATATACCACATATGTCAGGCCAATCCAGGAGTATGCAGCCCCAGCATGGACTCCATATCTAGTCAAGGATAAGACTAAACTGGAAAAGGTTCAAAGGTTTGCCACCAGATTAGTACCCGAGCTCAGAGGTATGAGCTACGAGGAGAGACTACGGGAATTAAGCCTCACTTCGCTGGAAGACAGAAGAGTTAGGGGGACATGATCACCACATTCAAGATTCTGAAAGGAATTGATAGGGTAGATAAAGACAGG